AAATGTACCAGTTTAGAGATTCACTGTGGTCAAAGTTCAAGCGTACTGGCTCCATAAACGATCACTGTACTTACAGACATTGGCGAAAAGCATGCACAAAACAAAAATGACAAAGGCCCAATATTTCAGTGAAAACACAACCTATCAAACCCAAGAAACTTCTGGAAAATTAAAAATAGCCTATAAAACCCCACAATCCACTCCCAACCCTCCACTGTCAGAATGGACAACCAAACACTACAACACCCCCTAGATGTAACAAATGCCTTTAATAATTGTAGATTATGCTAACGTAGTGTACCTATAATCTTAATTTTAATAATGACAGGAGGCGAATATTTTGCATAACTTTCTTTACTTTATGCCTCCAGCAGCACAAGTCAATCAATAAACTTTAAACCAATCAGTAACAGGCATCACATCCATATATAAAGCCCTGACAGACACATGACTTCCTCTTTCTTTGATACGAAAAACAGTCTATTATAACGTCAGGGAATTCAAATAACAGTCCTGATTAACGTGTAGCACATAACTTGAAACGAAACTTGAAACCTTCCAGCTTTATCTTGTCGAATCCATCTATGATGATTACGCTGAAAAGAACAGAAATACGTGAAAGGTGATGGAAACCAACTGTTGTCCACTTAAAATCCAGTACTATATGTATCTATATTTATATTAAGTTAATATACTGAAACATTAAACAAACCATAGTATACTTAATAATCAACACGGATCTAACACATGTCAACCAAATAAGCATCCCATAAATATACTGAATTACCAAAACCTTATAATTTACACTGAGAAAATGACAAACCAGAATATAAACATTTTCCAGAGTATAGGGAGGGAAAATATTCGCCTCCTGTCATTATTAAAATTAAGATTATAGGTACACTACGTTAGCATAATCTACAATTTTATCACATGACAGGAGGCTTCATATTTTGCATTTTTAAAGCTGTGGTATGAGCGAGAAGGATGCGTGTGTGGTTGACGAAAATAAATATACGGAAGTAGTCTATCCGTGTCCAATTCGTCGCTGAAAATATAGAGGCCCCCTCGTGAAGGCCTGAGAAGCAGCGCGCCTCTTACCGAATGAGTACCCAAACACGTCTCCACCCTCGCTAGCGATAACAACCAATGAACCCATCTAGACAGAGTGTTCATGGTAACTGGCTTGTACGGTTGGTATAAGACCAGCAGATGTCCTGAATGTGACATTCTAAGTGTTGTCGTGATCTCCATGTAACAAAGTACCGCTTTAACTGCACAAAGACTGGGAAACCGTCGGTAACAGGGAACGATATGGACGCGGATAAGATAAAGTTCTACGAGACACTGTAGAAATCATTCTTTCCGGTGATACCGAAAAGACCGTCTACGTCGAACTCCAGTACATCTGATACCCGACGAAAAGACCTAAAAGTAACGTGACTCTGGCTAACGGCTGACTGAGGGATAGGACCGTGATATCTGACTAGCTCCAAAAGAACCAAATCAAAGTCCCACACCAGTGATACTTTGACGCATGGTTCTGGACGGTTTGATACCCCGCAGAAAATGGCATATCAAAGGCTCTTGATTGACCGGAGTGTCGTGAATCGTGCTATGCGTCGTCGAAATCGCGGAACGTAGCCCGTTAATGGAACGTTCCGATCGGCCTGTAGTGAAAAGGTATGATAAAGATCCAGCATCGTGGAGATAGGGGTAATAAAGGGATCGCAGTCCCTTCCCATACACCAGCGAACTCCAGGTGTTCCATGCGGATAAGTTATTTCGGGGAATACCTGGTGTCCATGAGTCCCATAGTAGGTCTCTAGTTGGTTGCGATAGTCCCTTGACATACCAGTCTCCCCTGGAAGACACCAATCTACCAACTCCAGATGCTCCTGCATTATCAATGGATGATGTTCTCCTTTTGGATCCGCCCGAAGGCAAGTTAAAACGGAAGGAGCAGAGGATGATCCTGATTAAGGACAACCCTTCTGGGTGTCACACTTGACTCCTTTACCGCAGTAATGACTACTATCGAAGTCTTCGCTATTCTGATCCCAATTTCATAGATGTGTCCGTATCTCAGGCAGTGAGCTTTCAGCCACTGTCTGGCCCGGTAGTGAAGCAGTCCTGGGAAATAGTTAAAGGGTTATGGTGCCTTTCCGCCGTACCCGTAGAATTTCCTTACGAATCGTCGCTATCAATGATGTGGGAAGGTGCAATCCGCCCATGGTGGAATCTTTTCTAAATTAGAGGAACTGAATCACTCGGAACTGGGATCGAACCGACTCCTCTCTGTTCACTATGAACCCCAACAATTCCCGAAACTGTAAACATAAATCTCGTTTGTAAACGTAGTCATGAATTGGATTTGCAAAAAGTAAGTCGTCTAGGTATGTGACAGCAGATACCCTTTGCTTTTCAGTGCGCCGTGACCGACTTCAGAAACTTCATGAGGCACCATGTGAACCTATAGGTAAGTGCCCTTCAAGTCCAACCTTGTAGATCCCCTAAGAGATGGATACCTTCCTTCTTGAGTTGTCGGTACGCCCCAAAACCATTGGGTTGGCATAGGTTGATGACTGGGTGATAGTCTCCTATCTTCTTCCTTACTACCAAACCGTTGCTGAGATAAATGGTTCTCCAAACAATAGTCCGTCCGCCTGAGGTCCTCGCTCTTTCGTCCCTAACTTCAATAGTTTGAAATCCATCTTTAATCAGGCTGCTTTGCGCCGTTCTGTGCACCTGTCTGCCTTGCGTTCCCCAACCTACATATTGCCCTTTGCACCCACTCCCTCACATCGTGAGCTTCTAGAGGTGAGTCTTGTGTGGGGTCAGGTCCGCAAAGTATAGAATTTTTTCCCAGGCTGATCATATCCAGTATTTCATCTTAACTCGCTTTGAGTCCTCCTCCTACACCTTTACATGGACCCCGGCCTGATCGGGACATACATATCACCACGAGCTCCATAGTGAGGACTATCTTGTTCAGACATAGAGGGCGTGGGCATTCCATCCTGAGCCTGTCTCGGATTTCTTTTCCCATAGGCCTCCTAAGCCAGAAGTGGGCCTGGTGCTCCGGTTAACCCCATTCGGATGACCCTGGTTGTCGGATGGTGCGTGAGTCAAAACAGGAGTGTCCAGTGTGCCAAAGAAAAAAAACCTTTCTTGCTAGGCGGGTCTTGTCACTTTTACCTCTTCTGCCCTCCATTCTTTCATGATCTCCAGAGAAGGGGGGGGAGGATGAAGTCCTCGTCCCCTGATGATGGGTGTCCGACCTAACGTCGGTATCTCAATCTTCCATTGGTGTTGCTGCCGTTGCACCCGCTCTGTCGGATGGGTTGTTAGCCAGCATACTGGAGAGGACTTCTTCCCCCGGAGCTGTCATGGTGGCCATAATCCTCGCCTGAAAATCGGTCGGGGATATTGAGGTAAGTCCGACATGTTGGTTCACACCCTTTCGGTCCGTGGGAGACAGGATCGTACAACAGTACACTTATTGCCACTCAGTGGGCCTCCGCGTATAACTGGGGGTCACCCAGAATTTTGATCAATCAGTATCATTTTCGCAGGATCCGGGGAGTGGTCTGAGAATGAGGACATCCTCAGTAAGACCGGGATGAGCGGTCTGCAATGTCGGGACGTAGCCCGAGTCTGGGAGACGTGAAAGCCTCTATATATAGTCCACGGGGTTCATCCTTATATGGTCTAGAATTGTGGAGTTTTGGCAGCACTGTGAGTTCTCCTTCTCGGTTAAGGGAAGGGCGTACAGAACCCCAGTTGAAGCATAGAGGTGCCAGAATACATGCATCTAGTGCGCCCTGGTCTGTGCATACAATGACAGAGCGTACTCTGAAGGTAGAAGCCCTAGAAAGGGTCACCCCGTCCGGTAGGGGTCACCCCTTTGTACCTATGCCACTAGCACCGGAGTAAGACTCGCTTGGGGTTCACCCAGCATAGGGGGGTCACCCCTGTATGAATGTCTCTTATGGCATGTTGGGACACTCTTTCGGTCTATGGGGTACCGAACAGGTGTCAGGTACGGTAGTACACTTATTGCCACTTAGTGGGCCTCCACGTACGACTGGGGGTCACCCAGAATTGTTTCAATCAGTACCACTTAGAGATTTCCTGGGAGTGGTCTGAGGAGGGGATCACCCTCAATAAGACCGGGATGAGCGGTCAGTAATGTCGGGACGTAGCCCGTGTATGGGGAGGTATGGTAGCCTCCAAATTATCCAAGGGGTCACCCTTATAGGATATAGTACTGTGGAGAATTGGCAGCACCGTGAGCTCTCCTTCCTGGCTCTGTCAATATACATGTATTCAGTGTGACCGGGTCTGTGCATACAGTAATAGATCGTACTCCGTGGATATGAGCCCGCCCTAGGGTGTGGGGGTTATGTCACTAGTACCGGAATAATATTCGCTTGGGGTTCACCCAGCGTAGGGGGATCACCCCAGTATATGTATGTCACTAGGACAGGAACCAGATTCGCTTGGGGGTCACCCAGCGTGAGGGGGGTCACCCCTGTACCACAATGTCACTTTGGAGAGGTGTCTGCCACGCTTGGGGGTCACCCAGCGTAAGGGGGGTCACCCCTGTTAATCACTCCATTATATGCCTCCACTACTGTGTCCTGGGAGGTGTATCCCTGTGGGGAAGGAGTGTATCCAATGGTTGTGAGGTCCAGTGGGAGTAGGGAGCGGAGTAAGATATCAGCTCTATTTAATTTCCCTGCCAGTAGATAGAGTAATGCATCCACTATATGCCCACAGCAGGGGACAGTCCATTCATAATCCTCCAGATGTACAATAAAACTGTTATTCAACATGTCAATTGTATAGAACAGAATAGAGCAAACTGTCAGCAGATGCACACAGCAGGGATCAGTCCTACATATTCATGTAGAGTTACATATAAAACTTTTATTTCACATGCCAATGAAATATGACAGTATAGAGCTCAGCAGTGAACAGTCCATTCATAATCTTCCAGAAAAGGTACATAGAAAACCTTTATTCCACATGCCCATGATATGTAACAGTATTGAGCTCAAAAGTACTTGTAAAACTTTTATTTCACAGGGAAAATATATGAAACAGTATAGAACTAGCTGCCAGTTCGTGGGAATCACGAACTGGCCAAACGACGTGGCCGACGTGAATCTCGCGAGTGCCGCGAGATTCAAGATGGCCGCCGTTCGCACGCACAAGTGCCGTGCGGCCCGCGATCGAGGATACAATCGCGGCCCGCCGGCATGGAATAGAGTCCCCCCGACACCCCCAACCCCCAGAGAGCTGCCCTGAAGTCCCAGCACCAATGAATAAAAAGCGTGCCCGCGGTAAAATGCCGCGATTGCCGAGACCAGAGTAAAGCATAGGAAAGAAAAGGTGCCAGCAACAGAAACAGGTTAATAAAGCAGAAAATACAGGGTTAATTCGGGGGGAGAGTAACAGGGGGAGAATATCACACTATACAAGTCCAAATGGAAGGCAAGTGCAAAATAATGAAAAACGTCTAGGCCAAAATTGCAGGACAAGCTAATAAAGTTTAACAAAAGTGCCCATGCATATCCAGAAACAGTTTGGAGCAAAAACTGAATGTCTAGCATTAAAAATCTAACTAAAGTGACCATAGCAATATTAATAAAAACAGTTGGAGCAAACTGAAAGTCAATTAATAAAGTTTAATTAAAGTGGTATCCAGAAAAAACAGTTAGGATTAAAACTGAATGTCTAGCATAAGGTGTCTAACTACAGTGACCATAGCAATATTAATAAAACAGTTTGGAACAAACTGAAAGTTAAGCAATAAATGATTAACTAATGACAATTGCAATATCAGTAAAACAGTTTGGAGCCAAATACTCTGACCTGTGCCTTGGCTGGAAGCAGCAAAGAAAGAGGAAGTCATGTGTCTGTCAGGGCTTTATATATGGATGTGATGCCTGTTACTGATTGGTTTAAAGTTTATTGATTGACTTGTGCTGCTGGAGGCATAAAGTAAAGAAAGTTATGCAAAATATGAAGCCTCCTGTCATGTGATAAAATTATTTTGTTAGATGTGCTACAACCCTGGTTGCTAAGATAACAAATGACACTCATTTTCAGACTGCAAATAAAGATCAGGCCCTGCCAAATCTTCAAAATCCTCATTTAGAGAAATTCAATTTTAGACCTGTGCCTGTTAGTGTCATTAATAAACATCTTAATAATTAAACAATGAAAATCCAGGGACAAGATCAAATCGCAGCAATGTTGCTGAAGCTCAGTGCACCAGCAATTGCTAAACCTGTCACTACCCTTATCAATGAATGCCTGGTGTCAGGATTAGAGTTGAGCGGACACCTGGATGTTCGGGTCCGGCGGGTTTGGCCGAACTTTGAAGTCAATGGGGACCCCAACTTTTGGCCACAAAAATGGTTCTAAAAAACTCCTGGAAAGGGCTAGAGGGCTGCAAAAGGAAGTAAGATAGGGGTAAGAGTAGGACAAGTGCCCTGCAAACAAATGTGGATAGGGAAATCACTTAAAAATAACATAAAATAAGCAGCCACTTAGTAGATAACTCCCTAATTCCCACGGTATTAGGGAGCTATCTACCAAAAGGCTGAAAGACCTAAATTGGTCTTTCAGCCACATTTACTAATACTAAGTAAAGATTACTTAGTGTTAGTAAATTCAGCCCCTACTCGCTATACCGCGAGTAGGGGCGTGTCTGTAAAAAAAACAAAAAAAACCAAAACCTAGACGGGTGGGGGCCCTAAATAACAATAAGGGGGGGGGAACTACTGTCCTCGCCTCCGGCTCCCACACCTGCGCGGTGGGTGGGGGCCATAAATAAAAAATGGGGGGTGGACCTAATGTCCTCCCCCTAGCCCCCACCCCTGAGCGGTGGGTGGGGGCCATAAATAAAATTTGGGGGATGGGGAACCTAATGTCCTCCCCCCCCTGCGCGGTGTGTGGGGGCCCTAAATAACAATAAGGGGGGGACCTAATGTCCTCCCCCTCGACCCCCACCCCTGCGCGCAGGGTGGGGGCTCTAAATAACAATCTAAATAACAATAAGGGGTCCTCCCCCCTCCCACCCCTGAGCGGTGGGTGGGGGCCATAAATAAAAAATGGGGGAGACCTAATGGCCAAATCAAAATCCATAATAACCGACGCACTTAAAAAAAAAAAATAAATCCATCTACACCCATGGAGGGCTCTGCGCAGACTGAGCTCTGCAGGGCAGGGTAAGGCTTATAAAGCCTTGCCCGGCCCTGCAGTTAGGCTCAGAGCACTCTGATTGGTGGGTTTAAGCCATACAATCAGAGTGCTCTGACAGGTAAATGAAGAGACTGACAGGTTTTTGCTGCGTGCGCTCCACGACACACCAGGAAGTTCATGTGGGTTACATATTTAAAGGAAGGATTTGAGGACATTCGTTTACACTTCTGCTGAAACCTAACTGGCGAAACGCGTAAAGTGTTATTTCTTATAGCCCTTTTGTTTTACTATTGTTACAATTGTTACTATTAAATATTTTTAAAGTGATATACTATTTTATTTTTATTTTCAATTTATCTTTCTCACCACTTCCTGGTCTACATATCCTTCAGTGGGGATTATACCACTGCAAGCCTTATATACTAGAGCAAGTTGTCTGCTCTAGCAAATGTGAGTACAATTACTTTCATTTTATTCTCTCTAAATTTGGAATCAGAGTTGCTACACCATTGGAGTTTCTCTCTCTTTTTTTCCACCCTATCTACGTCATCATACTAATGGAGTACTGAAAAGTTTGGGCCTCCTATCCTGAGACGGGGATTGTACCGTCCGTGCGAATTAAGGTAGGGCTCCTGATTAGCTCTACCAAATGTGAGTTCAAAATACCTCTGCTTTACATACCATTCCCGTTTTCAATTTGTTACAGCATATTGCACTATTGTATTTCTCTCTTTGTGTTTTTTTGAGGATATATTATCTACACCAATTAAGGGATACCAAGTGTATGTATGTATAGCTAATATAAAGCGCAGTTTCCTTCTTTTCTTTTACATTGTTTCCTTACAAGGCTGGGAATCCTTGCATTGGTTACTGCTGCTTATCCACTTTTTGTTTTGAAGTGAGCACCCGACACACCTCCCTTTTCTTTAAGTCTCTACATTTACCTGTCACAGCACTCTGATTGGTTTGCTTGAAATCCACCAATCAGAGTGCTCTGTGTCATTTTACACAGCGTGGGAAAGTTCTTTGGAATTTTCCCACGCTGTGTAAAATGACACAGAGCATTCTGATTGGTGGATTAAGTAACCAATCAGAGTGCTCTGTGTCATTTTACCCAGGGTGGGGAAATTCCAAAGAACTTTCCCTTGCTGTGTAAAATTACACAGAGCACTCTGAGTGGTGGATTTCAAGCCAACCAACCAAAGAACTTTCCCACGCTGTGTAAAATTACACAGAGCACTCTGATTGGTTAGCATGAAATCCAGCCAATCAGAGTGCTCTGTGTTATTTTACACAGCGTGGGAAAATTCCAAAGCTCCATACTCGGCCCCCTGCTATTCACATTATTTATAAATGATCTGCCTAACATCTGCAAATCCTCAACTGTACACATGAATGCAGACGACATGTAATCTACACTAGTAAACCCAAGCTACTGCAGCTTGAGGCTGTGCTCCAAAACCAATTCGCAGAGGTACAAAAGTGGATAGCGGATAACAAACTATTCCTAAACACTGAAAAAAACGTTACAAAGATCTTTGGAACTGTACCTAAATTACGTAAACTACTAAATCAACAATTGTGTATCAGAACAAATTCAAATAGCACACTGACAGCAGTCTGTGCTTTTAAATATTTAGGTATGTTGCTAGACCCCAATCTATCCTTTGGCCTTCACATTGAAAAAAATCTCTTCAAAACTTTGCCCAAAACTAGGTGCCCTGTACAGAAACAAATCCTGCCTAAGCCCTACAGTAAGGAAACAAATGCTAATACCGGTCATTGATTATGCGGTAGTGTATGAACCCGCAATGCAAACCCAGCTTAATAAACTTAATTAGTTATATAACGTGTTCTGCTGCTTTGTACTAGAATGTAACTACTTTACCCACCACTGTGACATGTTAAAAGAGCTAAACTGGCTGTCACTGGAATCCTGACGCATTCTTTATCTTTCCAGCCTTGTGCATAAGAGCATGAACCTGAGTAGAATGCTTTCCCTGGCTGTTCCCACCTCCTATAACCTCCAATCCAGTACTAGCACGATATTTAGCATACTGCAATACAAAAATAAAGTGGCTCGATCCTCCTTTTCCTACAGAGCACCACAATTATGGAATAACCTCAAGGACACAGTCAAATCTTTATTCAATTTAAAATCTTTTAAGAGACCTATGGCAATATACCTCAGCACAGAATGCACCTGTCATGGTTGAATATATTTACTACTGGTTATGTAATATATATATATGTAATAAGAGTTGTGTTGCAGGTAGACAAAAAAAATGGGGCAGATCTGCAGAACAAACATCGTATTCAGTATCGACCCATCCAAGTAGTCCAGTTGGGATGTGCTATTCTTGAACTTGGGCCAATTGGGTCAACATATAATGAAATCTAAGAATTTGGAGATGCAGACTACCTACAACCTCTGGTCTATACAATACAGTCTTAACAAGCCTATCAATGACCTTACCAGATAAAATAATATATCAATGATTGGAGAGACGCAAGGTTAGATGAGAGTAGAGAGGTAGGTAGTGGTTGGAACAGATATAAAAATCTCAGTAGGAGATACATCTTGTGTACTCTGCCCAATAAGGAAATCGCACAACTATTTCTGGTTTCTTGGTCACATTTTAATTGTGCACGCATAGGAGCATACTATGCTTTGTAAATGATGGGCGGGTTACCAATGAACTTGATGTCTAATTATGAGCTAGATCTAAGATCTAGATATGATGGATGTCTGAAATGACCTGGCTTAAGCTTTGGTTGTTGAGACTTAATTGTAACGTCTGGGCTTTCCAATGTCTCCTCTACTTATAAGACAGGAAAAAAGATGAAATGGAAATATAATCCAGGATTCATCTGAGAAATTTAATTAATGTTTATTCTATTAAATCACAAGATTTATTTTCTTGTAATTGTAATAAATCCAGAAAACAATATACAGCAAATTCAGCTCACACCGTAGGACCACCACGGCAGTCTTTTTGAAGAAGAGTATGGAGCCTGAGACTTTAAT